GTAAATGGTGTACCAAAGTCCCTGAAAACCATTCGATTTCCACGAAATTGGGCACACCGTAATGAATTAGGTCTAGAATGATGTGTGTAAAATTTCTTGAAAATCGGTTAAGATTTAGACATAGGTCATGTAAATGGTGTACCAAAGTCCCTATATATGCTTCGATTTGCACGAAATTTGGCATAGTGTACTGAATTGAGTCTAGAAGGATGTGTGTAAAATTTCATGAAAATCGGTTCAGATTTAGATATAGTTCCCATATACATGTTCGACCGAGGGTTCACCAAAGTCCGTATATATTTTTCGATTTCCACGAAATTTTGGATAACGTAATGAATTAGGTCTAGAATGATGTGTGTAAAATTTCTTGAAAATCGGTTCAGATTTAGAAATAGGTCCTATATATTAGTTCGACCGATTTAATGTAAATGGTGTACCAAAGTCCCTATATATCCTTCGATTTGCACGAAATTTGGCATAACGTACTAAATAAACCATAGAACGATGTGTGTTAAGTTCCGTGAAAATCGGTTCAGATTTAGATAAAGCTCTCATATATATTTTCGCCCGATTTAATGTAAATGGTGTACCAAAGTTCCTATATTTGTTTCGATTTGGACGAAACATGTCTCGTGTCACGTGAAAATCGTTTCAGATTTACACAAAATGTTGCACAACGTATTTAAGATAGTTTAGCCAAGTTTTCTTGAAATCCGTCCAGATTAGAATATAGCCCCTATATGGTTTCGTCCGATTTTAAGTAGGACCCAAAATATGTCTTTTAGGAACAAAACGTGCATAAATTAGTCTAACATAAACTGTGACAAGTATCGTTGAAATCCGTTCATATTTCGACGCCTCCGAACCATAGTATGCTAAGTCTGAAAAGTGAGTATTTCAGTTGAAGCTTTCAAAGTATGGAAGTTTCTTTAATCGTACGTGCCATGCTAATTACGTTTTTGCTTATAACTTTGGTTTGGATTGGACGATGATTACCAAAATTGCAGTGAATGTAAATTAAGGATCGTAGTATCTAAAAAACTGAAAAACTTTAAAACATGCTAAGTCGACTTAGCATACTACGGTTCGAAGGCGTCGATTTGGATATAGCTTTCATATTTATTTTGATCCGATTTCATGTAAATGTTGCACCATACTCTTCATGTTTTTTTTCAGAATAGAATGACGTAGATGCGTGTGAAAGTACAGATATAGCCCATATATGTTCCGAACCGACTTCGTGTTCCAAGTATTCAACGGGTGCACCATTGATATTTGCTTAAAATCGATTTACATAATTTTGTTTCATTGTAATAATGAACGGCATGTTTATGGATTGATCTAAGTCGATTCACATTTAGATAAAAGTCACGTATTTTAGTTCACCCAATTTCATGTTAATGGCCCTTCTGTTATGATGCATCTTTTAAATATACCCATAGTGGTGAAAGGTATCATATAGTCGGCCCCGTCTGACTTTACTACTTTCCTTACTGGTTTTATTTTTGAGGTCCTTGCTTATTTGTTGGTGTATTTTTTCCTTTTGGGTAGCGCTATATCCTGGTTTTCCTAATTTATATTATCCTCATGCATTGAGGTTTATGGCGAGGTTAGTTATTAGAATGCCCATCTTCGCATTGTCCACTGCGCCAATCTCCACCCCCACTGAATCTTCTAATATTTCCATTTTATCGAGTATACTATAAAAATCGCTATGTTCGTTATAACCTGGACTAGGTGATCGTGGCTGCAATCTTTCGTTGCATAGAAGCAATGCCCACTTCAATTTTAAGTGGCGGTTGGGGTCCTAGCTTATTTAGTGTTACCAATTTTCTTCTAGATGACGCTAATTTATATTATCTTCATATGTTGAAGCCGAAATTGAGTTTTAAAGTAACAAGGTGGTTAGGATGAATTTGAAAAGAATTGTCCATCTTGCGCTACTCACTGCGCAAACCTTCATCACGACTGAATTTTCTAACATTTCCATTATATCGAGTAAGGTATTAAAATTCGGTATGTTTTCTATAGCCTGCCCCATCTGCCGTTACATAGACGCAATGTCCACATTAATTTGTGGTTGTGGCCCTTGCTTATTTAGTGTTAATATTCCTCTGAATGGCGCTATCTCCCGGCTTTCCTAATATATTTTATACCCATGTTTTGATGCCGACGCTGATTATTATGAATGTCAGGTTGCTTGCTATAAATTTAATCTAGAAGGGGATGTAAGTCCGGTGCACCAACTCCCCAACCCCCGACTAAATAGATATGATAGGGTATTAAAAATTTCGTGATTTCCTATTTTCCTTTCCACACAATGTTAACTTGTTTCCAAGTTACATAATTGTAGTTGTTGTTGTGGGATTTAGTCGAAGTTGTTGCCAACTACCAACACTTCAAAATGCAATTTGGATTGCAAAAAAATCGATTCTGTGTGTGATATGCAAACGTCAACGATGCAATCGATGATGATGTAGCTGATTTTGACACAAATCTTATCACGGATTTGTTGTTTTTTTTTTCAACAAGTTGATGCCTGCCATGCTTTACATCAAGTTAATGATAGTATTTTTCTTTCAGTTTATCAACTAACACAATAACTAGAAAAAAACAACAATGTCAATGTGAAAAGTTTATATGGCAATATGAGTTATTTTCATGAGCAACGGTATAAAAACAAGTAAAAAAGCGTTGAATACCCTCCACCATAGATATACTGACAGGTAATAGAAATGAAAATATAGGGAACATACCAAAAAGTGGACCTATACCGACATTTCTAAAAACGGATTATGTAATCCATAATGTCAATCATAATACAAATTTCAGAAATTGTTAATGGATAATTATACCCTCAGCCTTATGACTGAGAGTGAAAATATGCCTAATCGAAATATTGGTTTCTTTGGACCAAATCCGTTTCAGAAAATTAAGACTTCATCCAAACTTTGCCCATCCTATTATTTCTTCCAAACCTAGTTCAAATTCGAAGATGGTGAACTCCTCCTCCATTCCTTCTGGAACCTCCACAAAGGGGATAGGTTTAAATGCGGCTATAGTTCATTATCGAACCTTACGTTCTAATTGTTTATCTCGCTATCCTCTGCAGGTGAAATGATTACAACCGAGACTTAGAACCAAACACAAAACGCGGAACAAATCAAATAACTGTTTTAATATAAAAAAGGGGGTTACATGGGGACTACACCAAAAAGGGGGCGAATATTAATAATTTTTGGTAGGGGGATTTGTTACCCTATACGAGTACAAACTACCAAATTGCAGCAAATTCAGTTTAAAAACGCGCTCAAGAACCCCAAAATACCGAAAATTGGGGGTACCCTTATATGGGGGCTATCCGAAAAAATTGGCCTATATTCATAATTTTTTGTGGAGAGATTTGGAACCTATTAAGAACTCAAAATACTAAATTACAGCTAGTTCAGCGGAAAAATACGATCAAAACCCCCAAAATACTGAAAATTAGGAGGTACCGTTATATGGGGGCTACCAGAAAAAGTGGATCTATATTTAAAATTTTTTTTTGGAGACATTTAGTACCCTATAAGAACCCAATGTAGCAAATTTCAGCGAATTCGGTTGAAAAAGGAGCTCAAGAACCCCAAAATACCGAAAATTGGGGGGTACCCTTATATGGGAGTTATGCCCAAACGTGGACCCATGAAGCCCATCTTCGAACTTGACCTGCCTGCAGACAAAAGACGACTCTATGCAAAATTTTGGCGATCTATCTCTATTCGATTAGACGTTAGAGTGATTACAACAGACAGACGGACAGACATGGCTATATCTTCATAGAATTTTACGCTGATCAAGAATATATACACTTTATAGGGTCGGAAATGATTATTTCGATGAGTTACAAACGGAAAAATAAAATTAATATACCCTCCATACTATGGTGGAGGGTATGAAAAAGACACAACGATGGGGACAAAGCTGTACAAGATCATCTTTCTATTTAGAGGCTTCAAAAGGCCGTGTATCTATAGAGGTCTTGTATAGGGGTTTCTGTATGGAAAAGATCTGTTGAAGGCCTTCTATCTTCAAAAAAGTGGTTGAAGGTCTATACAAGAGCTGTAGAAGGCCTTCTATTGGTATAGGGGCTGTAGAAGGTAGTCTATCCGTAAAAGGCATTCAGAAGTAGAATCCATTTGAATGATTTTCCAGAGAACATCAATAAAAGGTATTCTACTCTTGATAAAGGATATAAAAACTATGAAATCTGAAAATCCTCTAATTCCAGATGAGGGTAAAACTCCAGATGTCAAAAGAGAGTCTAAAATAGGAAATCTTGTACATTCTAAAAAGCCATGGAATATCATATATATGCAGAGGAGTTCATGAAGGTATTTTCTATTCAAAAGTGTAAGGAAAGGTCTACTAGCAGTTATTTAATCCTGTCTATACCTATTTTTTCAATTCAATTTTTTATATTGATATAAATAGCTTCCAAACATTTCTTTTACATGCCAACAAAAAATATTAACAGTAAAACTTTTTGTTATTTACAAATTCAAATGTGTGTTTCGAACAATTTTTAATTAAAAACTTTTATTCCCAATTTTTGTTATGAAATGAAAACTTTGGCTTTAAATAAAATAATGTTTTTAGCTTTTATTTTTTTTTTTTCATTTACAGTTCTCAACCGTATTTAATGTGAAACATCCATCAATAATGCCTTGCATGTTGCCAAAAACCAGAAGAACAAAATGGACTCAACTATTCAGCATAAGCGTTTTCTTGTTGATTACGATATGTGCACCAGCCGCCCATACCATACCCGCCGCCACAAATTCCCTGCTGCTAAATTCACAAGCTAGCCAAAGTGGCAACAACAATCCATTGGTTCTGCTCAGCAGCAGCAGCAGTGGTGTAGGCGTTGGCGGCAGCAGCAACATCAACAACCTAAACATGAACAATCCCAATAACAATAATAATCACAACACCAACAACAACATTAATATCCTCAATAGCAATAACAACAATAACGATAACATCAATGGCAATATTGGCAATGTTTTAAATGTCAACAATCAAGGGGCCATTAATTCCAATCCGTTGGCCAGTAACAATGGCCTGGCCAATACAAATGTGGCAACGGGTGACATTAATATGACCGGTGGTAATGGCAATTTGCCGGTTATATTGGTCAATTCCGGTACCGGGGGTGTTGATGTCCTAAATGCTACGGCCATGGGTGCAGCTGTGGTGGTAAATGGTGTCGCCGTCCCGGGTGGTAGTATCGGTAATATTGTGGCCATGCCAAAGGAGAAAATCTATGATAAATGTACTGGGCCTGCTGATCCGGGACCATGTAAGCAGTACACGTTTAAGTGGCGCTACGAATCAACGACAAATGAGTGTACCTCATTCATATGGGGTGGCTGCGAAGGGAATGCTCAGAATCGTTTTAATAGCGAAGCGGAATGTTTATTTCATTGTATTGGTGCACCGCGTAAGTATACAATTAATCGTAACGATTTGATTGCCAATTGTAGCTAGCGATACTATATTGTTAAAGTAATCGCAATACATGATTCAAGCCTAAGGAAATGTCTCGAATATAGCCTATTTATACCCTTCATCACACTGTGGTACAGGGTATTATGTCTTTGTGCATATGTTTGTAACAGGCAAAAGGAAACGAGATAGGCACATGCTTCCTTTTGAGAATATGCATAGAATCACTTTCTAAGTCGATTTATGCCGTCCGTCAGTCCGTCCGCCTGTCTGTAGATGTTAAATTGTAAAAAAGGACAGGTCGCATTTTTGATTCGAATTGGATGAAATTTGGCCCTTCTTCAGCTCTTCTATAGTGAGAAACCTCTTTTCAATTTGTCCATAGTCATAGGATTTCTACAGCTTTGCTATAGACAGAAGATCTTCTTCGCCTTCGTCAGCTCTCATATATACAGCAGTCCTTATTCAGCTCTTCTATAGCCAGATACAATTTTTCAGCTTTTCTATAGTCAAAATACCGTGTCCAGCACGTCAGTAGGAAAAGACATTTCAAAATCCTTCTCTAGACAGAAGACCTTCTATAGTCACAACACCTTCTTTAGCTCTTTTATAGACATCAGTCCTTCTTCGGCTTTTTTATAGACAGAATACCACCTTAGGCTCTTTTATAGGCAGAATATTTGCCAGATATACTTCCTTGTCTGTGGTCAAAGGACGAAGTTTGGTATAGCGTACTGAATTAAGACTAGAACGATGTGTGTCGAATTTCGTGAAAATCAGTTCAGATTTAGATAAGCTCCCATATATATTTTCGTCCGATTTTAGGTAAATGGTGCTCCAAAGTACCTATATATCATTCGATTTGCACGAAATTTGGCATTGCGTACTGAATTTCGTGAAAATCGGTTCAGATTTAGATATAGCTCCCATATATTTTAGTCCGATTTTAGGTAAATGATGCTCCAAAGTACCTATATATTCTTTGATTTGCATGAAATTTGGCACAGCGTACTGAATTAAGTCTAGAGTGACGTGCATTAAGTTTCGTGAAAATCGGTTCAGATTTAGATATAGCTCCCATATATATTTTCGACTGATTTTAAGGAAATATTGCTCCAAAGTACCTATATATCTTTCGATTTGCACGAAATTTGGTATAGCGTACTAAATTAAGTCGAGAGTTATGTGTTAAGTTTCGTGAAAATCTGTTCAGATTTCGATATAGCTCCCATATATATTTTCGTCTGATTTAATGCAAAAGGTGCACCAAAGTCCCTATATATCTTCCGATTTGCACCAAAGTTCATGTTTCACAAAATTGTGGACAACTTAGTGAAGTTAGTATAGCCAAACGTGTGGCAAGTTTCTTTCAAAACGGTTCAGATTTGGATATAGCTCCTATATTATTTCCCTCCGATTGTAATTAAATGATGCAATATTGACCCAAAATATGGCCGATATGCACAAAACGTGCTAAAAGTTTTATAAACAAACTGTGACAAATTTCATTGAAATCGGTTTAGATCTCTCTACACATATATAATTGAAGATTTAAAAGAGAAGAAAAATAATTTACAAAAAAATTTTGTTATTATTTTGTTGTTGTTTTTTGTAATTAAAGAAAATTCCTTATTTTTGATGGCGGGCATGATAACTCCTCACTGGAACATCGGAATCCAAAAATTCCTACGGTGTTAGAAAGAGTACATGTCTGGCTCTCGTATGAACTAGGATTATTGACTTCGCTTTAAAATTAACAAAATGGTGAACCTTTGAAAAAATATTTTTGGAAAATCGCCGATTTTTTACCAAAAAAATAAGGAAGATCTTCACCGATTGGCTTTATCCCAGTTCATACGATAGCTACACACTCACAGAGAATCGTGTAAAAATTTGAAGTCGATTGGGTTATTAGTTTTTGAGTTATCGTGCCCGCCATTCGCAAAAAAATGTTAAGAGAAAAACGCGTTTAAAGTTTGAGAAGCCCTTCAGCCGTCACTTGATGCCGACACAATAAATCGGAGATTTTCATTTGAAATTTTGTATGGACATTCTTTAATTAGAGTAGATTCGAATTATATCAACAAAATTTTTGACCCCGAGAATGGGTGGGGTCCCATTAATTAAATGGTGCCCCAAACTCCTCAGTTTTGCCATATTGACGCGACATGTTTATGGATTGATCTAAGTCGGTTTATATTTATATAGATCATATTATATTAGAATGCATCTGTCGAATATAGCCAATGTGGTGAAGGGTATCATATAGTCGGCCCCTTCCGACTTTACTACTTTCCTTACTGATTTTGGTCTGAAGAAGAATGGCTGAAGTAGTTATTGTCTATAGAAACATTAAGTCGAACTGAGAATGTATTAAAGCTGTGAGAGGTCTTCTATAGATTTTCTATATGTTTGTGGTCTTCTGTCCATTGAAGGGGTATTCTGTTTTCTGACTATAGAGGACAAAAGAAGGTCTGTTGTCTATAGAAAAACTAAAACAAATTTTCTTCGTCTATAAAAGGGCTGAACATCTCTGTCTGTAGAAGAGATGAGGAAAGTCTTCTGTATTCTGGTTATAGAATAGCTGAAGAAGGTCTTCTGGCTATGAAATAGGTGAGGAAGGTCTTTTGACCACAGACAAGGAAGGTTATCGGGTTATAAAAAAGCTGAAGAATGCCCGCTGTATACAGAAGAGCTGCAGATTGTGTTGTGCCAATAAAAGGGCTAAAGAAGTTCTGTGTGGAAGATCTTCTGTCTATATTAGAGCAGAGCAGAAGAGCTGAAGAAGATATTTTGTCTACAGAAGAGCTGAGAAGGTCATTGTCTATAGAAGAGGTGCAGAAGATCTGTCTATAGAAGAGTATAGGAAGGTTTTCTGGCTATAGAAAAGTAAAAGCAAATATTCTGCCTATAAAAGAACCTAAGGAGGTATTCTGTCTATAAAAAACCGAAGAAGGACTGATGTCTATAAAAGAGCTAAAGAAGGTTTTGTGTCTATAGAAGGTCTTCTGTCTAGAGAAGGATTTTAAAATATCTTTTGTCTACGTGCGGGACACGGTATTTTGACTATAGAAAAGCTGAAAAAGGTTATCTGGCTATAGAAGAGCTGAATAAGGACTGTTGTATATAGAAGAGCTGACGAAGGTATTGTATCTGTAGAAGGGCTATAGAAGGTCATCTGTTTATAGTAGACAGGACAGGATCTTCGGCCTATACAAGAGCATGGGATGATTTTCTTTCTATAAAATAATCGAAGAAGATCTTCTGTCTATAGCAAAGCTGTAGAAATCATATGACTATGGACAAATTGAAAAGAGGTTTCTCACTATAGAAGAGCTGAAGAAGGGCTAAAGAAGGTCTTCTGTCTGTCTATAGTAGAGTCGTGGATGATATTCAGGCTATAAAAGAGCAGAACAAGATCTTATGTCTATAGAAAAGCTGAAGAAGATATTCTGTCTTTAGAAGAACTGTAAATGTCTTCTGTCTATAGAGGAGCTAGAGAAATTCGTATGACTACAGCCAAGATGATATGGATTTTCCGACTGTAGAAGATGAAGGCATTCGATCTATAGAAGAGCAGTGGGATATCTTCGGGCTAAAGAAGAGCAAAGGAATATCTTCTGTCTATGGAAGAGCTGAACATCGATTGACTTTAGACAAGCTAATAATGGTTTTTGGCTAAAAAGTGTTATTGCTAAAAAAAGACTAAGTTGTTTCTTTAATAGAAATCCTGAAGAAGATCCTGAAGAAGTTGAATCATGTATTATGTCAATAAAAATCCCCTACAAGATATTCTGTCGGTAGAAAATCCTTGTATAAAAAAGATATGATAAAGATCTCTTTGCAACAGGCTTATTAAAGGTCTTTTGTCAAGGCGTTCTTTAAAGTGGTCGACTACATTCCCATTTTCCTTTGTTATTATAAATTAAACATTTAATTTCCTATGAATATCTCCCAACATAAACAAATATCACCATTATTTGCCTCGCATTTCAGATACATTACCACCATTCCTGCAGACGACAACACGTGAACCCAGTACCACCGAATCATCTCTGGTTCCACCCTCCTATACCGTTTCACCATCATATGGTGACTCAGAAACCAGCCCCATACCATTCGAACAACGTGGTCCCGAGTTGACATTTGCCGAAACGGGTCAGGAGAAAACTTTTGTTTTTGCCGAGAACAACACGTTCATACAAATCGATGGTGATATTATACAAACATTTCAATTAAGGTAACATAATAATAAAAAAAAATTATTTTCGGATTATGAAACTTTTTTCTATTTTTGCAGATTATGTCGTGAAATTTCATTTCAATTTCGTACTCGTCTGCCACATGGCCTTCTGGTCTATCACAATGTAAAAAATCCCGATCGCATTAATTTGAATCCGTATGCTTTGTATGTCATTGTGGAGAAGGGACAGCTGAAAGTTGTCCATGTCTTTGGCAAACATTCGACCAGTGTTACTGTGGGTGAGGGTCTGAATCGTGACGAGTGGCATAGTGTTATGGTAAGTAGTTTGTAATGTAATTTCTGGGGGGATAATTATGCATCACAGAGGGTAGATTATTCCCTCCTGGATTTACAAAAGAAATCGAATTTGAAAAGAGTACTAAATTTGATAATTGATAAAGAATTCAAAATATGATAATGAATTCAGAAAGCTCAGAAAATCCCAAGCAATGGTGGGAACCCATGCTAGCCAATGGTAAAATGTATTTGGGTTAGAAGTGTGTACAAGGTCTTCTGTAGGAGCTACTCTTATATAAAACAATTAAAATAAATAATAGTTAAAAATTCTTAAAATCTGCCTGGGTCTTTGTATGGGCCAAAACATGAACACACATAGCACATGTCGTTCAATGACAATTCCAATTTAGTTGATTAGCAAATTATTCTGTCTATTGAAGAGCTGAAGAATGTCTTCTGTTCTTAGAAATGCTGAAGAAGGTATTATATTTATAGAAGAGATGCAGATGGCCTTCTTTTTATAGAAGAGCTGTGACTTCTGAAACAATTATCCTTTAAATTATATCGTAGGTAATTTATCGTGATGAATTGAATTGTTAATGGTTCTGCCATGAACACAAAAACTCTGTTGCATCCATCAACACAATTTTTATACCCTTCACCACACTGTGGTACAGGGTATTATGTCTTTCTGCATATGTTTGTAACAGGCAAAAATAATCGAAATAGACCTATGGTTCCTTTTAAGAATATGCATAGAATCACTTTCTGAGTCGATTTATGCATGTCCGTGCGTCTGTCCATGTTAAATTGTAAACAAAGTACCGGTCGCATTTATGATCCGAATTGGGTGAAATTTGGCACAGCTCATTTTTTTGGTCCAATGACGAACCCCACTGAAATTGGGAAAACTCGGTCCAAATTTAGATATAGCTCCCATATATATTTTCGTCCGATTTAAGGTAAATGGTGTACAAAAGTCCTTATTTATCTTTCGATTTGCTCGAAATTTGGCATAGCGTACTGAATTAAGTCTAGAATGATGTGTGCCAAGTTTCGTGAAAATCGGTTCAGATTTAGATATAGCTCCCGTATATATCTTCGTCCGATTTAAGGTAAATGGTGTGCCAATGTCCCTATATATCTTTCGATTTGCACGAAATTTGGCAAAGCGTACTGAATTAAGTCTGGAATAATGTGTGCAAAGTTTGATGAAAATCGGTTAAGATTTAGATATAGCTCCCGTATATGTCTTCGTCCGATTTAAGCTAAATGGTGTACCAAAGTCCCTATATATCTTTCGATTTCCTCGAAATTTGGCAAAGCGTACTGAATTAAGTCTGGAATAATGTGTGCAAAGTTTGATGAAAATCGGTTAAGATTTAGATATAGCTCCCGTATATATTTTCGTCCGATTTAAGGTAAATGGTGTACAAAAGTCCCTACATATCTTTCGATTTGCTCGAAATTTGGCACAGCGTACTGAATTAAGTCTAGAATAATGTGTGCAAAGTTTCGTGAACATCGGTTCAGATTAAGATATAGCTGTCATATATGGTTTCGCCCGATTTTAGGTAAATAGTCCACTAAAGTCCCTATATATCTTTCGATTTGCACGAAATTTGGCACAGCGTAATGAATAAGGTCCAGAATGATGTGTGTTAAGTTTCGTGAAAATCGGTTCCGATTTAGATATAGCTTCCATATATAGCTTCGTCGGATTAAAGGTAAATTGTCTACCAAAGTCCCTATATACCTTTCGATTTGCACGAAATTTGGCATAGCGTACTGAATTAAGTATAGAATGATGTGTGCAAAGTTTCATGAATATCCGTTCAGATTTAGATGTAGCTCCCATATATAGGTTCGCCCGATTTTAGGTAAATAGTCCACTAAAGTCCCTGGAAATGGATTTGCACGAATTTTGGCATATCGTACCGAATTAAGTCTAGAATGATGTGTGCAAAGTATCTTGAAAATCGGTTCAGATTTAGATATAGCTCCCATATGTATTTGCATCCGATTTTAAGTAATTGGTGCCTCAAAGTCTCTGAAAATCATTCGATTTGCACGAAATTTGTCATAGTGTACTGAATTAAGGCTAGAATGACGTGTGCTAAGTTTCGTGAAAATCGGTTCATATATATTTTCGTCCGATTTTATGTAATTGATGCACCAAAGTCCCAATATATATTTCGAGTTCCACGAATTTTGGTATATGGTACTGAATTAAGTCTAAAATGATGTTGCTAAGCTTCGTGAAAAGATCCATAGCTAGGCCGATTGACACAACGTACTGATGTAATATAAATTAGTCTCTGGCAAGTTTACCTGAAATCGGTTCAGATGTAGATATATAACAAAAAAGCGTCGTCTGTTAGGATACATATGTAGAATATACCCAAAGTTGTAAAGGGTATCATATAGTCAACCCAGTCCGACTGTAGAAAAATATACAGACAGCGGCAGCTCGCCTGTATAATAAATAAAAAGACACGACACGGTGCTCCCGACCGTACTATTTGAGTGTTTGTAAGACACTCCTCTGTACACAAAATTATTGAGACACAGCGATACACGACTGCTCTATGTGAGTGGTTGTAAGTCACAAATTTTATTTTAAAATATTTATCATTAGGTTCTACTTAAACAACTCTTGCTTAGCCTAATCTCAAACACAAAATACTTATCAATTAACTATTTGTTCTAATAATAGAATTTGATCTGTGGAGTTTTTCCATCGTGGACGTCATAAAATCTCAAGCGTTCCATGTGGGATTTTCGACTCTTATATTAAAACACTCTAACCATCAAATCTTCTGTAACATAAAATTCTGTTCGAAGTATTTTGAACATGCTGACGACTGGCAAGAAGAGCTGACAAATTAAATTTCTGTTCACAGTATTTTGAACACCGACTTTACTACTTTCCTTACTGGTTTATAATTTGACAGTGACAATCTGATGAGTGACAGGGTGCGTTCACTAAGTACATTCAAATTTGTCACGTTCATTTGTTTTCCAATTTATGCGCCACCGATTGCGATGCCAAATACTCGAAACACATGCATATATGTTGCTATATGTTTTATCACTCTGTAGTAGTTAATTTTAATATTTTACTACTTTTTGACTCCTGTTTTCGTTTTTATTACCAGAATAGAGATGACAATTGAATTGTCACATTACTATAAGTGTAATTTGTTTTACCATGAAATGCAATCATCAATCTTATTGAATACTTCCGACACACACACACACAATAGCATAACAAACCAAATACTTTATTGTTTTCAATCTGCACCATACATTCTCCTGATGTTATTTTTTTGTTTGTATTTCTTTCTCCTTTGAGCATTATGATGCCTTTGCCAAACAACAATAACACTAAAAGGATATGCTGAGGAACATGCACATAACTCTACAAGGATGACAATAGAAACACGTAGTAATTGTAGTGAAATGCGTTCCAGGTTGCATCCATCCATGCATTCACTCATGTGTGATTTGTTATCACAAATATGTCCATACAGACGTGATGGAAGACAGGCAGGCAGCCGAGTAGGGAACAATTCAGTCACTCACCCAGAATTGTTTGATTCTAGATACATTTCTAAAGGAAATACCACAAAAATGTTATTAGTAGCAATATGACCAGTATCGTAGCCATACGTCCATACACAGAGGCATTCATTTTTTTTTACAACTCATCCCTCATTGAGCCCTACCAAACCAAAACGAATCCGAACAGAACAGAAGAGATTGAAGTACAATAGCCCAATTGACAACAATGGACCTTGGTATCTGATCTGAACGTGTTCGGGTGGCTGTATGGGATATTGAGTAAATGTTTTTCTACTTTGTCATTGATATTGGTTACAAGAAGATGTGCCTGCAATCAAATATTGCGAAGAGATATATGGACATAGGGGCATATCATCAGTGCGGTTTTTTTAATTTTTACAAAAAAAAAAACGAAGGAACGTAAAAGTCATTGATGGTGAAATATGAGTTTTCCAAAGAATGAAACTGTAAATCGGATTTTCATATAGTCAGTTGTTCAATTACCGGTGGCCTAAAAGGTGGATATATTAGGAAAAAACCCATTATAATGATTCTAGAGAAAACTAAATTGTGGGTTGTCAGGAAAATTCATTTTTTTATACCCAACCACAAGCGTAGAGTGTGTATTAAATTTGTCATTCCGTTTGCAATACCTCGGAATATTTACCTGAGATCCCATAAAGTACACCTAGACTGTTTTTACACGATCTTTTTGTACACGGTTTTGATATAACACGGTTTGAAAATTTAATATTTTTAATTTTTTTACACGATTTTATTTTATTTTTTTTTTTTCAAATTTAATTTTTGCGAAGTATTTTTCGAACACTAGCTTAAAGATTTATGTGAATTCCCCTTTAGCGCGTACAAACAATTTTTACTGGTCAAAGCAAATGTGAATATCTCTAATTTAGGGGAATTCCCTTTTTTACACGTTTTTTACACGGCTTCTTGTGGAACCAATCTACCGTGTAAAAACAGACTTAGGTGTATATATTGTTGATCAGAATAGAATTCTATATTAATTTATCTATGTCCGTCCGCCAGAAAGTCAGATTGGCACGCAGCCGCCCTCCCTGCATTCGAGCTGGTGAACGCGGCATAAGGTATTCGTGTACTATTAAATATCTCGGAATAACAGTGTCAGAGCGTTTGAATTTTCTTCCACACTTCGATCGGTTGAAGGAGAAGCTGACAACGGTCGTTGTGACCATCAGGCGTGTTTTGCGGACTGATTAGGGCTTGAGTAGGCGTTCTGTGCGTATCATATATGGTGGGCTTTTTGTTGCCTGTGCAACTTATGGTGCGCCTATATGGTACAGATCTGCCTCTTCTGTCATTGGGCTCCTTTCGTGTCAGCGGGTCGTCGTGTTAGCGTGCTTGCCTGTGTGTCGCACTGTTTCAACAGAGGCGTTCCAGGAGCTGCTTGGCGCCGCGCTGCTTGATTTTGTAGAGAGATGTAGGGCTATCATGTATAAGCTTAAGCGTGGTTTGCAGTTGGATGAGGATGATAGGCTCAGGCCTTCTGATTTGGTGGATGGGGAGAGTAGGCGGTACAGCACTTTCCTTCGGGGTTGTGTTGTTGATAGGTGGAGGAAAAGGTGGACGAACAGTGACAAAGGGAGGGTGACGTACGAATTTATTCATGACGCAACGTTCAGTAGGGCTCTTGAAGACGATCGGACCTTTAGTTGTTTAAGTAGTTTTGCTAGTGAAGCATTTAGGAGAAGGACAGTACTTAGCGGAGGTGGTCCTCGTGCATAGCCCCCTTGCAGTTAGGTTTGGTCGGTTGCACCGGGTGGTGGTGGGTAGGTGCACCGGGTGGCGGTGCTGGTCTTGGTGCGGTTATCGGCGGTTGTTGGCTGTCCGTGAGGGCAGTTTTGTTCATTGTTTGTGTTGTGATATCCGATGTCGCTGTCCTTTGGGCCCTTGTGATTTGTGTATTTGCCACTGCTTGTGGCCAGGTTTTTCCTAGCTACTTGCGGTTATCGCGTTGCTTATATTGTTTTGGGATACCAGCCCGGACGGATGTCGAACTGGGAGAGGCTCCGGTCTCGAGCCTGATCGGAGGTTTTCCGTACCGCAGGTGTCAGGTGCCCCAGGATCTGTCGATCCAGCCTGACAGTTGGTGTGCCCCCCTGGGGAGCTTCGCGGGGGTTGTGGTTTCGCCCCTCACCAAGGGGGAGAGTGTGCCTTCTGCATGCTCTCCAATTGGTACAGTACTTCGGTGCTGGTGAGCTGGTGGGCGCTTTTCCGCCTCTGGCCCACTGTGAGGTAGGCCAATAGGCAGGTACTCACATAAAACTCTTCAAGATACTGTCCATCCGTCTGTTGACATCACAAAAAAGCTCACGATAATTAAGAAAAAGTTTGCACATATTTTGCTATTACTCACAAAGTGCAAATCCAAGGATATACCGGGACTTTGGACCACTTACATAAAATCGAACGAATATATATATATGGGAGCTATATCCAAATTTGAACCGATATTCCCGAAACTTACCACTCATCATTTCAGACTTAATTCTGTACGCTATGCCAAATTTCATGCAAATCGAAGGATATATAGGGACTTTGGTGCACCATTTACATAAAATCGGACGATAATATATATGGGTGCTATATGTAAATCTGAACCGATTTTCATGAAACTTTGCACACATAATTTTATGCTCAATTCAGTACGCTATGCTAAATTTCGTGCAAATCGAACGATATATAGGGACATTGGTGCACCATTTACTGAAAATCGGACAAAACTATATATGGGAACTATATCTAAATCTGAACCGATTTCTACACTTAATTCAGTACACTGTGCCAAATTTCGTGCAAATCGAATGATATATAGGGAAATTGGTGTACCATTTACTGAAAATCGGACGAAACTTTATATGGGAGCTATATCTAAATCTGAACCGATTTTCACGAAACTTTACACACATTTCTCTAGACTTAATTTAGTACGATATGCCAAATTTGGTGCAAATCGAAAGACATATAGGGACTTTGGTGCACCATTTACATAAAATCGGACGATAATATATATGGGAGCTATATCTAAATCTGAAACTTTGCATATATCATTCTATGCTCAATTCAGTACGCTGTGTCACATTTCGTGCAAATCAAATGATATATAGAGACATTGGTGCACCCTTTACTGAAAATCGGACGAAACTGTATATGGGAGCTATATCTAAATCTGAACCGATTTTCACGAAACTTTGCACACATCATTCTATGCTTAATTCAGTACGCTGTGCCAAGTGTCGTGCAAATCGAATGATATGTAGGGACATTGGTGCACCATTTAATGAAAATCGGACGAAACTATATATGGGAGCTATATCTAAATCTGGACCAATTTTCTCGAAACTTAGCACGCATGGTTCTACACTTAATTCAGTACACTGTGCCAAATTTCGTGGAAATCGAATGATATATAGGGAAATTGGTGTACCATTTACTGAAAATCGGACGAAACTATATATGGGAGATATATCTAAATCTGAACCGATTTTCAAGAAACTTTACACACATTTCTCTAGACTTGATTTAGTACGACATGCCAAATTTGGTGCAAATCAAAAGATATATAGGTACTTTCGTGCACCATTTACCTTAAATCGGACGAAAATATATATGGGAGCTATATCTAAATTTGGACCGATTTTCACGAAACTAAGCACGCATCGTTCTAGACTTAATTCAGTACGCTGTGTCAAATTCTGTGCAAATCGAATGATATATAGGGACATTGGTGCACCATTTACTGAAAATCGGACAAAACTGTATATGTGGGAGCTATATCTAAATCTGAACCGATTTTCACGAAACTTTACACACATTTCTCTAGACTTAATTTAGCACGATATGCCAAATTTGGTGCAAATCGAATGATACATATGGACATTGGTGCACCATTTACTGAAAATCGGACGAAACTATATATCAGAGCTATATCTAAATCTGAGCCGATTTTCACGAAACTTTACACACATTTCTCTAGACTTAATTTAGTACGATACGCCAAATTTGGTGCAAATCAAAAGATATATAGGTACTTTCGTGCACCATTTACCTTAAATCGGCCGAAAATATATATGGGAGCTATATCTAAATCTGAAGCGATTTTCCCAATTTCAATAGGCCTAATTTCCTTGGGCCAAATAGATAAGCTGTGCTATCCAATTCGGATAATAACTGCGACCTGTACTTTGTTTACAATTTAACATGGACAGACGGACGGAAGGACGGACAGACGGACGAAAGGAAGTGATTATGTACATATTCTCAAAAGGAACCATGGATCTATCTCGTTTCCTTTTGTCAGTTACAAACATATGCACAAAGACATAATACCCTGTACCACAGTGTGGTGAAGGGTATAAAAATTATCAATATTGATCCATTATTTAGGGTAGGTCCCATATAACGTTACATCCCAAAATTTCAGCAATTTGAAGTGTTTGGCCAATTGGATGGAGTTTTAAATTTAAGAATATCATTGTGTAGAAAATCTCACTACCAGTATTGGCTCCAAGATTTCAGGTAGCCCCCATATTCGGTATATTGGGGGGTTTGGAAACGTTTTTCAGCCGAATTGGCTCTAGTTTGTTTTGGCGAGTGCTCATGGCGTGTCACATCTTCTAACCAAAAATGATGACTGTCGATTTACATTTTGGCATAGCTCCCATATCACGACACCCACCCACTTTCCGTATTTTAAAGGCATTAGCCATATTTCCCGACCGATATGAATGTAAGTTGGTATAAAGGGTTCTAGAAGGCTAGTATTCATATTTTCCAACATATTACGTATAGCTTCTAAACATTTTTTTTCAATTTCAACTCAGATCCAATACAGCCTTATATTACCTCTATCAACATTGTTGATCAGTAACAATAGCCACAACATTTTACTTCATTGCATTTAATCTATGTGTGTGTGTTTGTTTACGAGTTTTCTATTCCTTCATGCATTGCCAATGTTCATCATAATTCCATTCGATTTCTTTCTGTGTGTGTGATGTTTTCAATTCTATGTAAGATTTATTAATCCCTTCATCTTGTTGTTGTTTTCTTTTCTGTTTTGTTATAAATTCTAGGTACGCATTGATGTCCATGGTGCTAGATTAATAGCTCGAGTTGACAATAATCAGGAAGAAGTGTATCTCAAGGGTTTGAATCATGATACCAACTATGGTGTATCCACCAATCTGCCATCCGTTGTTTTAGTGGGAGGTAAGTACAAGGGAGCATTGTAACCAAAATACAGAAATAAATATTGAATATTTTTTTACAATGAGGAATTACAAATTGAAATGCCAATATCTGAACAATCCAAGTGTAAAGATTTTTTGAATCCACAAAAAAATCCACACGATGGAAAAATAATAAGTTACCATATGACCAACCTCTGATTCCCTACCACATATATTTGCATCCATCCCAATATTTTGTTGCCCAGTGTAATTTGTGAAAATGACGGCTCAATGAAATTTCCATTACACAGCTAACAAAACATTCTATTCGATCATTCATTCAAGTGTTATAATTGCTAAATTATTCATTCATGAATAGATTTTCCATCCAGTTTACATATTTTGGTGGTACATGTGTATGTATGTACGGCAGGTATGTGCTACATTTAGTCTATAACTTTACCGATTATGGCCTTCGGCAAATAACTTAATTAATGTGTCAAGTCAAACAAACAGCAGCCAAACATTGATGGCCTGAATAGCCAAATCAGCTGAAAGAAATTCCATTGAATATTTGCAACACAACATGGGGTCGTAACGAACACACACACACATACACACATATGCATATGTTGGTAGTATGTACATACAAATATGGCTGATGGGAGTTTGAATTGAAAACTCTTAAATTATCTTAATTTAGGGCAAATTATTATTGGTAACATTGAAGGTAACATTTTATTGCAGGTGATGTACATGCGTATGAATGTATGGCATAACTCATACGCACCACCCACCGAAGGGTTGAATGTGCAATAGGAAGGCATAAGGAAGGGGATATCTATTCTCCAGTGTATTGATCAATTTTGGTAGAGAGATTTCTAGTTCATTGAGAACCCCTAATATCGAACGTACTAAAAATCTTCAAAATGCCAAATATTTTGGGTACCGGTAAGAAGTAGACCAGCATTGATAACTTCAGCAGAAACATTTTCTGTCCAATGAAAACCCTAAATACCATATTACAGGAAAACGTGCCCAAACCTCCAATAGATCGAATAATAAGGATTACCTAGAATCTGGGGTCAATATTGATAATTTTTGGTAGCAAAATTCTGCTAAAATTTGGGCCAATATTGATAATTGTTAGTAAGACGATTTACTATACAAAGCCCAAAAGCTTCAAAATAACCTATTGTGGAGGATACCGTTATATGGGATAATACCGAAACATGACGATAACCTCTAATTATACCCTTCACCGTACTGTGGTATAGGCATTCCCAATATTTGTCCGATTGAGAAAAAATTTCTCACAGCGTACTGAATTAAGTCCAGCTTAAGGTTAACATTCACATACATACATAATTTTGCTCTGTTTCATATAAATGGTACACGAAAGCATTTAAGTCTCCGCGATTGACATAGAAGTTTTCATAGATTTCAGAATGCTATGTGTATGGGGGGTTTTCAATAGATTCAAATATCTATGTAGATCACACATTTAATTTCGCCCGATTCCACTTCAAAGGCCCTCTAATGATGATATGTCAATTCTATATATTAGTATCTCTTGTATTTACCCAAAGTGGTGAAGGGTATCATATAGTCGGCCCTGTCCGGTACACCACTATGTTGTCAGGGTATTATAGTTTTGGGAGCCCCAAGAGTTTGCAACGCCGCGAAATATTGGTCCTAGACCCACAATTAACTATACCGATCGTCTTATCTCGACTAACCGAGTCGATCTAGACATGTGTGTCCGTCCATCCGTCCGTCTGTCCATTATAATTTGTAAACACGATACAGACCAAAGTTAAGGACCAATCTTCACGAAATTTTGCATGTAGGAAGGGTTTTGGCCAGTGAAGACCCCTATTGTTTTTGGTAAAGATCGGTTAATATTTAGGGGATGATATGGACCAAATATTTAATTTTTGTTGGTTATTCTGGTCGCTCTAGAGGCCGCAAATATTACCCGAAAATCCCGAAATTTTACATGGAGAAGAGGATTGGAACAGAGAATATGCATGCCTGCCTTGATAAAGATCGGTCATTATTTAGCGGGTCAAATGGACCCTGACTTTTGTATGAAAAATGACAAACTTTGTATTCTATGGCGTATATATTTACTCGCGAAGCATATAGATCCGCGAAGTTGATAGTGTATCCAAGAGGAATGGTTGACCTTCAAAATGACTCCAATTATATTGTCGTATGTACTCGGATGTGGGAGTTACACACAAATATTTACAGGTGCTTACATATTCAGATATTATTTAGTAACCCATTACCTCATTCGAGGGCGGAAATATAGCGCTGAATCCTTTAAAATTTTCCATGAAGTTCCAATTATGGTCAAAGACAACACCTATAATTTTCGATGATGAACTGATTAAAATTTTGGGATGAAGTGGACCGAAAACTTATTTTTTTTGCGAATATAGGGAACATCACAACACAACCCATCGTGAAGGGAATCGGAATAAACATCCGAGTTCCGTGGTAGTTGTGTAGGGTATCGTATGGTCGGCCCCGTCCGACTATACTGTTCCGATCACAGGTTTTATATTCAAAACGTTTCTTTTGAAAAAAATGGCCAAAGGCCTTAAAATACCGAATATTGGGGAGCGACACTAAAAGTAGACCAAAATTGATAATTTTCACTAGGGACATTTTCTGCTCTGTGAGAAATGTTATATAGGGGCTAACCTGAAAAGTTAATCGATGTATACCATTTTCAATACCAAACATCCTAGGAGTAATATCAATGTATGTGCGATCAATTCTGGATGATACACCATAGATCACCCGCCACATAGTCTTGGCACACAATGGCTTCTTGTTATTTCCGCACAAATGCGTAGTCAACGATTTTCGTCGCAAGAAGATTCTGTTTAAGTATTCAAAAGCTATCTGTTGTCTCAACCTGTGTTGCACAGTGTAATTTTCAATATTGGTCTCATGGCCATGGTATAAATTGTTCTTATAATAATCGGTGTTGAGGGATACACTCTTCTTAACCAATCGCAAATATAATCTGAATTTTTCTTATAACGCTGTGCGAAAGGCAATTATCCTTGGGAATATCGACCACATTGGTGCGGGATTAAATTTCCTAATAACATGTGTATGAAATATGAACAATTTAGCTATAATTCCTAAATTCATAACAATTTGTCTTTGCTTTCATTTTCCGCATTTCCATTTTCCCATTAATTACATTTCGTTTTTCTTTCTCTTTTTTGCAGGTCTTTCGTCCGAAGAAAAATTGCACGGTGTTAAATATATCATCGAATCATTTGTCGGCTGTATACGCAATGTGACGCTGAGCTCGGGCAAGGCGGCATCTGATCTATTGCCCATATCACCATTGGTGGCCACGAAACATGAAAACGTCAACGAAGGCTGTCCGGACAAATGTCATTCACGTCACAATTTATGTTTCGTTGGATCGCGTTGCATTAATCACTACTATGGCATATCGTGTGATTGTTTTGGTTCACACTACGAGGGCGAGCATTGTGATATTTACAGTGAGTATACGATACAAATTTCCAGAAAAAGAAACACAAAATCGTATTTCTTTTTCACAAGAGACCACATTTATTGACAACAATATCCCGTTTAGTTTTACCATTTCGTGTACCATACTCTGGGAGGCAGGCTAATATCCTTAGACCCTTGGTTATAATGCCAAAGGGTAGGCGTTTATTTTGGCACAGAGGCACAGTTTTAAAATTTATGGTAAAATTTAACAGACCCCATGGGAATCCTTGTAGATAACTTTTGGCAAATGACAGAACACCAACGCGTTGAGCTAGATTCAAACAATTGTCCTTATATTCAAAATCCGACTTACTTAGAATTTCATTTTCTACTGCAAGTTCTAGCTCAAGCCATAGCAGAGGAAAGATGCGTATAAATTGGATTTGATCACACATATTATGGGTACAAAGCCGTACAAACTGCAATACCAAATCCGGACATGCCTCGGTATATAGCTGAATAACAAATCGACCCAAGTGACGGATGTTCTTGACACCGAGATCCAAATAGATTTTAGGCCTTAGCAGCTTTTCCATCATTTCTCTTTCTTTTACCAATGCCACCTCCATGTAGGCACTTAACATTGCCCCATCAAGCGGTGGGGATGGTTGTTTTTCTTCTCTTTCGATTACATCCTTCGACTGCTTAACTCTTTCATGGGTATCCATTGTTGAGGTAATCTTCAGCAAACGACAACCCAATTCGAAATTCTCCTTTTGTATTCTTTCCCGTTGCCTATTCACATTTTCCAAATAGGCCCGCTTTTGTCCCTGGTATTTGTTGTAGCATTCTGTTTTGCCATGATTTCGTTGTATATAATTTATCCGTTTCAGCAGTTGTATATTATCCTTGAGTATCCTTTTGCTAGCCTTGAAATCATCCTTAAGTTTATTCATATTCAAAAAGGTTGTTGCCAACATCTTCGTCGGTTTCACATCAATCAAACTTTGGGCATTCGCAATGGATTTCGTATGGGCGAGATGTAATTTACGTAAAATATTAGGATCGGTTTGGACCGTACGCGGCGAAGGAAGGGGCATATTTGCGTACGTTTCTATGTAATTTAGATGAAAATATGGGGAATTTATGAACAGAAACTAAATTAAATTTGATTTATATTTTGAAGAAAAAAATTTATAAATTTTAATGAAACGCAAATAATAAATAGGGGTTGCCAATTTGGGAATTTTAAGAACTTGAAAACAAAACATTTTTTTAGAGATTGTAAAAGGGGTATAAAACCAGAAGATTATTAGAATGTAATTTATATAATGACCTGCAGACCTATTCTGTAACTTTTAACAATATTCGATATTGTTTAAATTTATTTTGTTATTTTAAAAACAACAAAACAAACACATGGAATTGGTGTAGAATAAACAATATCGAATGTTGTTAAAAAGTTACAGAATAAGCCTACCCAATTTGTCTAACAACTGACAATTGCCGCAATTAAAATTGCCTTATGTAATTTTGGTGTAGTGGTATACATATTCTTTCCGAAAATTATGCCATATAGGTAAATGTTTTCAAATAGCCTTAAAAAAATATCCTGTTTAAATTTTGGTATGTTGAAGTTCCCACAACAGGAATCCAAACTGAATTTTTTTAATCATAAACACTATTTGCTCATCCCTCATCTCGACTATTTTATTCGGGGTAAACATTGATATAAAGGGAATTAATGTTACATATAACCTATTAATCTATCCATCTATATATATAAAGTAGAAAAAAACTTGTTTGTTTGTTTGTATGTTACCGATAGACGCCAAAACCGCCGAACATATCTTAATGAGATTTACACTGTATGTCGGGGCATGCCCTGAAAGTAACATAGGCTATATAAACTTTTAAAAATCCGCACAGTTGTCGCAATCACAAAATTTTTGGCCAAAATTATTTTTTTGAAGTTTCATATTTTTATAATTTTTTTGCGCGGAATAATAAAAAACACTTCAAACCATCAGAAAATAATTGGTTTTTCTAAATACCATTAATAGCCGCTCGTTGGTGTAATGCTAAAGTTAAAAATTTTTTGTATAAAAAATAGAACAAACTGTGTGCTGTAAAATATATACTTTTTGGTGTGCTGTGTGGTCGAATGGGTATACGAAATTCAGACCAAAGTTATTATGAATCTGGAAGCTGATAATAAGTGCTTTCATAATATATAAAGAAAGAACGAAGAAAGTTGTAATATCTGGGTAGGGAGATAAAAGTTTGTGTGTATATTGAAAATTATTTTTTACAAATATTTTTGAAATCTTCTTAAACTTTAGAAAAAATGTAAAAATATCGTCTCCTCCAAAAAATTTTTGGAAGCTGGCAGGGGTATGTACTATCATATTCAGATGAAATATTTTGCCTTATTTTGCCTTTTTTAGAAAAAAATGTATTTTTCTACTTTAAGTTGAGTGAAATTTTTTATAAATTGATGTTTTTATTGTATATAGTATTGAACTGAAAATGTGGGATAAAGAAAAAGTTTCATCCGATTTTTCTTAAAATTGATATTTAAGGTTTTAATAGTATAAAAAACATTTCTGCAACATTTTTTGAAAATTGGCCCACACTGTGACATAGCCGTACCGTCCGATTTAAGATATTTTAAAGATGCTGCTGAATGCAGAAACAAAATATATAAAAATGACAGATTATTACACGCTATTTAATAGAGCAATGGATACATCTGATCCACTTATATCATCTATACGCCTAAACGCCCACTTACAAGAAAGAAAGCGGTTAAACCTGCCATCTGAAGTAATCGAATTGTTAGTTTGTGAACTAAACTGTGAATTACGGCCCGCGAATGATACTGGTTGTGATGAAACCACAGATGAAGAATTCGAAAAAGAATATGGCGATGAAAATATAGTTCTGGAAATCGAAATATCTACATATATTCAATAATTAATTAATTTAAAACTTAATAGAGTTCTTTTATTTTCTTTACTTAATAGTATAAAACAACCTTCTTAAGCCTGTTTTAAGTCATACTTTTATAAAAAGAGTAAATTTTGAATTATGTTTACCGCATTTTATTTTGTTTTACAACTCATGTTTGTACTAAAACATCACATTTTGTACCCTAACATTTGTATGCCTTTGCATATCTAAAAACCCACACAATCCATACAAAAATGAGCATGGTACGATCAACGGAAAGTGCACTTTGTACTGCATTTTAAAAAACAGCATATTGAAAATTGAAAATATTTTGTTTGTAGACTCTAAAAATGCTGAAAAGATTTTACTGAGATTTTCACAGAACGTCATAACATGCCCTGGGAATAGCATATGCTTAAAAAAAAAAACATTGAAGTGAGTAGTGTGAATTTTAATTATAAATCGTTTTATCATCAGAAAAAGTCAGAGACTGGGATAGGATCAATTCAGATATACCACTATTTTTATACCCTTCACCACACTTCAAATTTGGCACAGCTCATTTGTTTGGCCCAAGAACGATTTACACGAAATTTGGCACAGCGTAATGAATAAGGTCTAGAATGATGTGTGTTAAGTTTCGTGAAAATCGGTTCTGATTTAGATATACATCCCATATATATCTTCGTCCGATTTAAGGTAAATTGTGTACTAAAGTCCCTATATGTGTTTCGATTTGCACGAAATTTGGCACAGCCTAGGATGATGTGTGTCAAGTTTCGTGAATATCGGTTTAGATTTAGATATAGCTCCTATTTATAGTTTCGCCCGATTTTGGGAAAATAGTCCACTAAATTCCCTGGAAATCTTTTGATTTGAACGAAATTTGGCACAGCATACTGAACTGCGTCTATAATAATGTGTGCTAAGTTTCATGAAAATCGGTTCCGATTTAGATATAGCTCCCATATATAGTTTCGCCCGATTTTAGGTAACTGATGCACCAAAGTCCCTGGAAATCTTTTCATTTGCACGAATTTTAGCAGAGCGTACTGAATTAAGTCTAGAATTATGTGGGCAAAGTTTCGTGAAATTTAGTAAATATTGCAGCTGTATATAGGATGATTACCAATTGATCATACCTAAATTTTAATTTGATAACTTCAGCAGGGTCAGCGAAGCGCCACGGGTCCCGCTAGTCTATCTATATAAAAATGAATTGTTGTTCGTTAGTCTCGCTAAAACTCGATAACGGCTGAGCGGATTTTTTTATCTTAGTCTTGAAATGTTCGTGGAGCTTCAGGGAAGATTTAAAAGGTGAGAAAATGTCAAAAACCGCGAAATTTTTTCGAAAAATATTATGAAGCATTATTGCATTTCCACGAATTTTTTATCGAGCTTTTTGGCTTGCACCACGTCGAAGGTGCTATTTTGAGATATTTTGGGCAAAACTTTGAAGCATATCATTCGTTTAAGCCTTAATTTGTCAATTATTAAAAATTTTCAAAATACATATTTTATTATACCCTTCACCACTCTGTGGTACAGGGTATTATGTCTTTGTGCATATGTTTGTAACAGGCAAAAGGAAACGAGATAGACACATGGTTACTTTTGAGAATATGCATAAAATCACTTTTTAAGACGATCTATGCATGTCCGTCCGTCTATCTGTCCGTCTGTCTGTCTGACTGTCTGTCTGTCCATGTTAAATTGTGAACAAAGTATAGGTCGCATTTATTATCCGATTTGGATGAAATTTGGCACAGCTCATTTGTTTGGCCCAAGGACGAACCCTATTGAAATTGGGAAAAATCGGTTCAGATTTAGATGTAGCTTCCATATATATGTTCGTCCGATTTAATGTATATGGTGTATCAAAGTAATGTATATGGTGTATCGATTTGCACGAAATTTGGCACAGCGTAATAAATTAGGTCTAGAATGATGTGTGTTAAGTTTTTTGAAAATCGGTCCAGATTTATATTTCGTCCGATTTTATGTAAATGGTGTACCAAAGTCCCTAGATATCTTTCGATTTGCACGAAATATGGCATAGCGTAATGAATTATCTCTAGAATTATGTGTGTTAAGTGTCCTGAAAATCGGTCGAGATTTAGATATAGCTTCCATAAATATTTTCGTCCGATTTAATGTATATGGTGTACCAAAGTCCCTATATATCTTTCGATTTGCACGAAATTTGGCACAGTGTACTAAATTAGGTTTAGAATGATGTGTGTTAAATTTTCTGAAAATCGGTTTAATTTTAGATATAGCTCCCATATATATTTTCGTCCGATTTAATGTAAATGGTGTATCAAAGTCCCTATATATCATTCGATTTGTACGAAATTTGTCATAGCGTAATGAATTAAGTCTAGAATGATGTATGTTAAGTTTCCTGAAAATCGGTCCAGATTTATATTTCGTCCGATTTTATGTAAATAGTGTACCTAGATATCCTTCGATTTGCACGAAATATGGCATAGCGTAATGAATTAGCTCTAGAATTATGTGTGTTAAGTTTCCTGAAAATCGGTCCAGATTTAGATATATTTTCGTCCGATTTAATGTATATGGTGTTGACCGATTTTACACAAAATTGACACAAACTTTTCACAACGTACTGGAGTTAGAATAACCTATTAATAATTTTTGATGGGGAGATTTGTAATCATATACAATTACAAAATACCACATTTCAGCGAATTCGGTTGAAAACGCGCTCAAGAACCTCAAAATATCGAAAATTTGTGGTACCCTTATATGGGGGCTACCGAAAAAATTTACCTATATTCATAATTTTTTGTGAAGAGATTTGGTACCAATTAAAAACTCAAAATACTAAATTACAGCTAATTCGGCGGAAAAATACGATCAAAACCCCCAAAATACTGAAAATTTGGATGTACCGTTATATAGGGCTATTAGAAAAAGTGATCCCATATTTATAATTTTTTGTGGAGAAATTTAGTACCCAATAAGAACCCAATGTAGCAAATGTCAGCGAATTCGGTTGAGAAACGCGCTCAAGAACCCTACAATACCGAACATTTGGGGGTACCCTTATATGGGAGCTATGCCTAAACGTGAACCGATAAAGCTCAACTTCGAACTTGACCAGCCTGCAGACAAAAGACGAATC